TTTTATTATAAGCATCTTGTAGTATTATGTTTCATGAAAATTAAATATAATATGATATATATAGTTTTAGAAATAACTAACGTACCAAACATTGAGCAGTTTGACTGCGATAGAGACCCAAGTTCTGTCGGTCTTAGGTGGTTTAGATGTAGATGCACTTTCAATATTTATTTGAAGGCTTTAAATATACAGGAAATCATCAAAAAGAGAGCACATTTGCTTTACGCAAGAGGACAGCAACTTCAGGAGTTTTACTATAATATACCAGGTGCACATGTAATCCCAGAAGGAGAGGTTGATATCGATGTTTTAGCAGTAGTACTGAAGAAGTTGGATGAATATTTTGAGCCAAAACATAGTAAGCTTTACGAATATCATTTATTTAGACAAATTAAGCAAGAAAATAATGAGCGTTTTGAAAACTTTTTAGTAAGATTAGTAATTCAAGCAAACAAATGAAAATTTATTGAGACAGATGAACATCTTATTGCTGAAAATTGTTAGCCATAGGTGATAAAATCTCACTATATGCAATTTAAGGAAAAGCTAATGCTCTTGAATTGGTAACTAGAGAAATTGAAAGTTATAACAATGGTAAAGTTTTTTGAGAACAACATGTAAATAAAAGTCAATTTAAAGCTATAAAAAAATGTACGCGTTGTAGTATTAATGAGCAATATAGCCAAGAAATTTCTCAGAAATGGATCAAAAATGTTTAAAATGTAATAAAATTGGACATTACAGAAGATGTTGCCTAAGCAATCTAAAGAGGAAACCCAAATACCAACCTTCTTATTCAAACTTTAATAAAAATGTTAAATGCACAAAACAGTCATCATCAAAGGAAGAAGCGGATTATGTATTATGTCTTTCACATTGATGATAATAAAATAGTACCGTGTACTCTAGGAGGGGTAAAAATTGAAATGCTAATTGATTCAGGATCCAAGAGTAATCTTATTACTAAAAAAAAACTGATATTTTCTACTAGAGCGTAAAATTACTGTTTGGAATGAAATAAAGAATCCTAATAAAACTTATGCAACTAACACAGCTCTTAGAGTACTTGGCTCATTTGAATGCAATATCTGTATTAGCAAAAATGCGGGGAAAGCAACGATTTATGTTATTAAAGGCGACACCAAAAATTCCTTAGAGAAATCTACCGCAAAAGCATTAGGAGTACTAAAGATGTAAAAATGTAAAAATATGATAGTCGATCTTCCCAATAGGAAGCATTAGGAGTACTAAAGATGTAAAAATGTAAAAATATGACAGTCGATCTTCCCAATAGGCGTAAAGTAGCAGCTCTAATTTTTTTAATTTAAAATAGTAAATAATAAAATAAACACCCGATATTTTATCCTTTTTAATATTGAATGTCCCACCTAGAAGAACCCGTACTAAGTCTCTATTTAACATTCCACTATTGCTTACAACCACCCGTTTCCAACTTGTAACTATGTGTCGATTAGTTAATAACTTTAATGACTGACATATTTAGATTGGACAATTTCAGTAAGTGTTTTTCGGGAAATATTATTAAAGCAAATCATCATTCTGACTAACTTCACTTGCTTGAGTCTGACATATAGCGTAATACTATGCGGAACCTTTTAGTATTGTCATAGCATCTCCTCTTTATTTTATATTAATGGTTGTAAAGTTCGTATGCCCCGCCCTACTTTGCGACGTCACTGTGTGCGTTGCGCAAATTAAGCTGATTTGTAATTTTATAATTGTTTCACTAGGTTTTAGGTATCTGCTAAAGACTTTCAAGAACGCTTCTTACTCCTTCGGACACACATAAAATAGCGCCACGGAAAAGTGATTAGCCAGAACGCAGTGGCGTACCCAAAAATAGATTTTAACACGTATAAAAACAAAATTATTAAAATTGAATGATTATTTTTATGTTATTTCTTTTAAAATAATCTGTTTTTATGAAATGTAACTGGGTGATCCAATGGAGAAACCGTTCCTGATAGAGACTATTCTCTTGCTGTGGTAGACAAAAGGGAGTTTATAATAGATATATTAGGTCGCAGTGCAATTACACCATATATGTAACATAACAGTGCATAATATTAGGAGACGAAATTTACATATTATTCAGCTAATTAAACGTACATATAAAAGAAAATTTGAATCATTTTATACGAGGATGGGTATTAATGTTTCTCTGGGGGAATTAACCAATAGGATGTTTACTTCAAACGAATGAAGTTTTTACTTACTTTAAAATTATAGGTTTGTAAAGAAGAATTTCAAGAGGACACAAAAAATTAATGCACCGCCGCCATCTTAATTAAAAAAAAAGTTATTTTACAGGGAAGTTTATTTCTTTTTGAAATGGCTCTAATTACTGCTAATAGAAAAATAAATTACAAGATTTTATGATACATTTTTTACCAGGAAAAAACATCTAACACCGTGCAATCTCAAGATAACTTAATTTATTTGAAAAAAATTATATCCAGAATTTTTAGAAATTCACTTTCCATAACATAAATTCTGACCTTATATTTTCTCGAAAATAATCTAGGCTTAATAAACTAATATGCTTAAATCACAATAATTTAAGGAGTCATTTGCAATTCGGCCTACTTCGACGTAAACATTCGAACTGGAGAAACTCGTTTCAACCAAAGATATTGCACCAGAATATAAGGGCAATTAAGAACTACGAGAGACCTTCAATAGCGAAACTGATTTACATATTAATTGCATTTGAAAACTTCTTCGCCTAAACTAAGTCTTAAGTAATTAACACGAGATTATATTTTAAAATAACCAACTTATTTAATAAGAAGTCTCGTTGTATAACCGACAGGAATAATTATGTTTAAAGGAAAGGAATTAAGAATGTTACTTACCTCTGTATCTAATTTATTACCATCTGTAAAATAAAACTTATTTTGAAACAGGATAGGAAATTATTATATACAATACTGTATTTCTAAGAATAAAACAGTAACTATTGCCTTTTTTTCTGAGGTACCACGTATCAGGTACTATTCATTATACACTTTTATATCTTTGGATTTTCTGTCACGAACGCCTGAAATTAACGAGTAATTCTTTCTCACTTAATCGTGTAAATCGTGTACATATTTCTTGTTGGAGACGATCAAGAACGCTTTTCATAACGCGAGAAATTTCACTTTCTATGGAAATACTAACATCTCTAGCCAATTCCCCGGAAATTTTGCGGCGTCTTCTTACATGAATTGTTGTCCTCTTCACAAGGAAATGTTTGACAATGGAATTGAAACCTCCAGAACTCCTAAACACAAAACTAAACTATGCAACAGAGGTGAAGTACCTAGGTCTCACCTTTGACAGCAAGTCAACATGGAACTCGCATTTAGAAAACACAGTTAAAAGAGCATACATTGCTTATTAACAATGCCGCCGAACAGTGAGACGCACCTGGGGTTTCTCCCCCAGAGTCGTCGCATGCACTTATACGGCTATCATAAGACCTATGCTAACATACGGTGAAGTTGTTTGGGTACCGAAAACCCAAAAATTAATAGCTATGCGTAAACTAAAACAAATTCAAAGAACAGCATGTCTCAACATAACAGGAGCCATGAAAACAACACCGACTAGAGCCATGGAAGTCATTCTTAGTCTCACTCCACTTGATATTTACATCAAGGAGGTTGTTCTGACGACAATGACATGCCTCTGCACGGTCGGAATAGAACCTAATGTAGGATCTTGTGAGGCGAGACGTCACTTTTGGCAGGAGGCGCTGGATACGCTCCCACTGCTTCAAGTGAACATGGACTCCATCTCACCGAAATATATCTTTTATAAGCCATATTAAGTTATAATAGAACAAATAGAAGAGCCGGAAGTGGCAGGTACAATTCATATCTACACCGACGGTTCTAAAACAAAACAAGGCTCAGGATGTGGAATATACTCCAAATTCTTAAACCTAAACATAAAATGGGCTATGATCAATAGTGCCAGCGTAGTTTAAACAGAACTAACGGGTATTCTCATAGCGGCAAAAGAAATGACCAGAAACAATATCACTGGAAGGAACATGCTCATCTATACAGATAGCAGACAAGCACAACTTACCCTGAATAGATCACGAATTTATTCAGGGTTAGTACTAGAATGTTACGAAGCTTTGGCCGAAGTATCCATCAACAACGTGGTCACCTTAAGATCGATTAAAGGTTACACCACATCGAAAGGTAACCGTCTTGCTGATTCACTAGCCAAGAAAGCAGCCCCCCAAATACTTTTTGGACCTGGCTCTTCTATTGGCCTGACAAAATCGGTAGTGACAGACCTATTTAAAGAACATTCCCTTGTGAAATTCAAGGAAAGATGGGATGAAACAAGAAACTGCAAAGTTGCTAGGGAGCTCTTAAGTTATCCTGACAACACTGCAGCAAATAAAAACTTGACTATGACTATACAGAATCTGCGCCTAGTCACAGGCATTCTGAGTGGTCATTCCCAAGTACGAAAGCATCCTCATATCATGAGTCTGTCAGAATCCGCACTCTGCAGAGGGTGCGAACAAAAAGATGAGACCATCAGGCATATCCTTTACGATTGCTCGACGCTCTCATTTATCAGAAGATTTGTGTTCGGCGAGTATCGGCTAACACCAGCCGATATAAGAGAAGCACCTCTTGGCGACGTTGTCAACTACATTAAATCTGTAGGCTGGCTCACGAGCTAGGAGGTGCCTATCTTCTCAGGAGGATGCACAATAGGCCTAATGAGACCTAAGTGCTGTGAGGTAACTCACCATCCACACGTTACAAATACAGATACGTATTGTTGTATCAATATCCTATTTTTCACAAAAAGACTTCGCTTTTTATATTGCCTCTTCACAGAACTTGTCTCGAATTTCGGCTAGTTTAGTCGCTAATGATTCAAGATCATGGAACGCTTCTCTAAAATTCATTCTAGAATCTTGTAATCTAAGCTGCACACGATCAGTCCTTCTTATTATTTCATACCAGAAATGAAGTTATGAAACAGAATTGTAGCTTCACTTCTGGTGCCACTTGTAGTGGTAGTGTCCTCTGCTAATTTTTCTAACAGTTCTACTATATTCTCTAGCCCATCGACGATTACGATAACGCTCTCCATCGTGTTTTAGATTCACGTTTAAAAGTTTTTGTTAAAGAATTTTTTAATAATTCCCATCGTAACGGTGAAGGTGAGAAAAAGAGATATGTTTTTTATTATTCTAAAACATGTCACAACGATTGGATCTCGTTTTGCTGCAGTAACTCCTACTTAATTTAATGAATGGTTATCACAATTTACAAATAATGTTTTATGATTTTTTTGTCCATTATTCTTTGTTGAACGCCGTTAAAGGCCAGATATGTGACCTGCCATCACGGCAGCATTATCCTAACATTGTGATCTGCAGTTTGTTAATTAAATTTCATCGAAATTTAATTTCCAGGCTGAATCTTAAGCATGTATTTCAATAAAACCCAAAAAAGATTCTTTTATAAAAACTTTTTTATTGATAAAATCAACATCTACATACCTAACGACTTGGAACATTTGTTCTCGATGAGATATATCAGTAGTTAAATCAAACAAAAGTCCATAATATTTATTTCTTTTGATATCTTTTATTAGATGATTTCGAAATGTAGATGCCAGAAGATGAATAAATTCATTTTGAATCTGTGGTGACAAATATGAGACAGTTTTTGGAGTTTCTGTTGTATGTTTAAGATGATATGCTAGTAGCGGATCAAACCGAGCTACAAGTCTAAGTAAAGATAATAGGTTTCCTACATTTATACCATCTTTAAATGCTAGTTTTTCAACATGGCCACGTTATATATCCAATATATTTCGCCACCGTTCTTGTTCGGACTAAATATTCACTTCTAATAAACATCAATTTCCGTTTTACTTATTAATCTTCGTTCTGTTTTTTCTAAGCCGTAAATGATTTTCGGTGATTTGGACTTTTTTCATGGCTAATCAATTTATCTTTTTTCTTTTATTTATTAAACCAGCTGATGTTACGAAAGATGATTGTGTAGCGGAATTTGATGTAATAAACAGTAAGCAACAAAAGCAGTACGCTGCATTATTTTTTTGGTGAATATAATACCTAGGGTCGGTTAACTTTAGTTCCTTCGTTTACCGACCCGTGGAGAAAACCAAGATTTTGGCGTAAGACGATTAGTTGATGTTGTAACTGCATTTAAACTGACTTCGTTTTGAGATGTGCAAGATTCACGAATAATCATTTCCTTTCGAAGTTGGTTCGATATTATTGGAAGATTGTTGCTAAATTTTAAATAAGCAACACCCTTAAACTCCAGAACATCCGGAACTACAGCAAGTGTTTCTGTTGTATTTTCTGTGCTCTTTATTAGATGTAAAAATGGATTTATCATTTCTTATTGACTTATGCAACTCGGCAAAATATCTAGGTATTACATTAGATGCAAGAATCCGCTGGAAGGTCTATATTAAAAAGAAAAGACAAGAGTTAGATATAAAATTTAAAAAAGTGTACTGGTTACTTGGTAGGCATTCCCGCCTATCTACATATAACAAAATTCTATTATATAAACAAGTTCTCAAACCAATTTGGACCTATGGCATTCAACACTGGGGTTGTGCCAGCTATAGTAATATTCTAAAAATCCAGAAAAAAGTATTGAGAAACATTGTCGATGCTCCTCGGTACATTAGAAACGCGACCTTCATCGAGACCTTCAGATGAACACTTTTGACCAGATTATCACCAGATTCGCTAGGAGTCACAAACAACGGCTCCACCATGTGAACGTTAAGGCGATCCAGCTTCTTGACAACACGAACCTGACAAGAAGACTCAAGAGAGTGAAACCTTTTGAGTTAGCCAAGCAAAGCATTGTGCGGTTTAGTGTTACACGTTAGTTTAGTGTAATTAAGTTATCAGACCGTAAGGTATACTAGCGAGTAGAACTTTAGTTTTTATGATTGCAACCCTATTTAAGTTAGGTTATAACAAAATTACCTATTGATCAACTCTTGATCAGATTGAAATAATAATAAGCGCCCCTTTTGGAGTGTTTTTTTACAAAAATAAATAAAGTAAATAATTTAATTTTTAACTTCTATTCTCTCAAAATCCCTAAATAAATTTTTCAAAATTACAAATTATAGTAATTATAGTTTATATTAATTTCGGATCATAACATTTTTAAAAATATATTTATTTTCGTGTGATTGAACGAAAAAAACGTATTGAAGAATATTGTAATAAAGAAAACGTACTCTATCTAAAAGCACAAATTAACCCCAATAAATAATTTTCCTTTTATTAGACACTGCGATTGATGTGGGTATTCAGTAACGTTCTAATTCAAATTTTATCGGTTCAGTTAGAGACGGAAAAAGAAAAGAAAATTTTTCAAACAACCCGAATATGCGTAGAAAGGAAAATTGGAAAATTAATTGCTTGATATTTGTTAGGAAGCCACATAAAAGTTCCATTCATCAGTCTGGTGTTATGTATCTTGCTAGTTCACGAACGAAAAGAGCAATTATTGCTGCTAGACGATCAAAACTGGCATTTTGAAAGAAAATGAGTTTTAATTTGAACGGTTTTGAAAACGTGAAACCACACAATTGAATACATAATTATAAATATTTTAGCATTTTTTTTTATTCATATGGCTAAATACACAGTGTTCGTTTAAAGTTTTTATACTGAAAAACGAAAGTTGACAAATTTTTAATTATTAAGGCAATGTATTTAATATAGGTACGAGCAACATTTTTTCAAAGACTTTTTAAACGAAACTACAATAAAAAAGAAGCATAAAAAATTCCTATCGAAAAAAAAAAAAAATATACAGGGTAAAGTGGTAAAAACGCCCCACATTTCAAGAAAAATATTTTATTTTAAAAATAAAAATATAAAACTGGAACGTAAAGTTACAGTTTAAGTGTTATACAAAGTAAAAATGAAAAATAATGGAGCATTTCTTTAAAAAAACTAAACAAAAAATCCATATTAAAGATATTACTAAAAGGGCATTTTTCACGTCCTGAAAGTGAGAAACACCCTTAACGATTGCAATACAAAAAATTACTTTTCAGCACATTTGTTACAAAAATTTAAATACTTAGTACCTACATGTTTCGTAAAGCCAACCTTGGTAGCCTAAGCACTGAATTTAGTCAGCCTTAGATTTGGTTGTAAAGTAGAAATCTTTACACTCGACGCAGAAATCGTCAGAATCATCCCAAATTTCCTCTGATGAAGGCAAAACTAGATCATCTTCTCCCTCATCAGAACTCGAAAGAACTTGCTTCTTCAATTTATTTATATTTTTGTATCTGGTCGAGTCTTTATCCAATTTACATTTTTTAAGCTGTCTTTCTTTAATACGCTCCTCTTTTGCCAATTTTTTTTCTGCACGATTTTCAGATGAAATTAGTTCAACGGCTCCCTGTTTTCTTTTTGAATTCACCGAGGGGATTTGTGAAACTGGATATTCATCAACCAAAAGCTTAGACGGTGTCTCTTTATTTTCGAGGTTATCGGAAATTGGTGCGCTTTTTCCTAGATTACCATATTTTTTAGGTGAAGTTTGTGACTCATGTAATTCAAGGGTTTTTTCGTAGTCTTTTAAGGTACTAGGAATAGGTTCTGTTTTGTTTGAAGTACTAGGAGCAGGTTCTGTTTGAGCTAATACTTCATGACTTATATTTCTCTAAATCCAGCTAAACCATTTGACACTATTGCAGCTATTCCCCATGCAGTACCTGTGAGATTCGATATTATGTTTCTAGATAATTTTCTGTTTTGGTGTTGAATCATCAAATTCATTGTTTCATGATTAAAATAGGTTTCAAGCAGTTTAAAAAATGAACGGTCCAAAGGTTGCAGTGCTTGGGTAGTGTGGCTTGGTAGGCACAACAGTATCACATCATTTTTCGTTGCTAAATTTAGCTACTCAATTCCATTACAATAGGATGAGTGACCATCTAAAATCAAAAGGGTTTTTCCTGGTGTCTTTTTAGGCAAAAATTATTCAGAAGAAGATATTAGAATTTACGTAAGATGATTGTTGATTCACGTATACACTCGATCCAGGCGGCAATCCATCTGTGAACTCTTTTTTTTATATTTGTCTTTAAAAATTAATACAGGGGGTAAGAAATGGCCCTCTGCATTACAACAAAATACAATTGATATATTTTCTCCATTTTCTGAGCTAGTCAAGGAAAATACATCTTTGGCACCATTGGTGGCTATAACTTTCCCGTGTTTATTATTAACTTGAATCCCAGTCTCGTCAAGAAAAGCCACGCTCTGTATATTTATCGACTTGGCCAAGGCATTTGATACTGTTTGTCACAAAACTTTGTTGAATAAGCTAAATGAATATGGTCTCAGAGGAAAAATATTTGAATTTATTAAATCATGTTTAGAAAACCGACTTCAATATTTTCAGTTGGAGAACACAAAGAGTATATTCAGAAAAATTAAATATGGAGTACCTCAAGGTACTGTATTAGGTTATCTACTGTTTTCCCTTTACATAAACGGGTTGTTGAAACTTAATTAAAGGGAAAGATTATAAATTTTGCCGATGATTCAGTAATTGTATACACGGCTAAAATTTGGAATGAAGTAAAAACTGTAGCAGAAAGAGAATTCCAAATTAAAAGTAGGTGGTTCCAACTAAACACATTGACAATTTAAATAAAACGAAATTTATGTCATTTGCCTAATATGCCAATAACTTGCTAACTTTCACAACACTTTATATAAAAAACCATTCTTTCATACCTGGCACGAATCAAATAAAATATTTAGGGGTTGTATTGGAACAACATCTAAAATGGGACTTACATATCAAATATGTCATAAATAAATTAAGAGGCATATTACATCGTTTTAGGTATTTAAAATCTTTTTTAGATATAGAACCTTTGGAAACACTATATTTCTGTCTTGTGCAATCACATTTAAATTATGGCTTACTAGGATGGGGGGAGTCTGAGGCACTTAGATGTTATCCAAAAGTGGTTTTTGAAAGTTATACCTAACAAAAATTTTTCTGGTGACTTACTTTTACAGTCTTCTAAAATATTAGATATAAGACAACTGT